ATTTTTTCAAGGGGAGGATAATCTCAAATCTTTTCCGTGAAAGAAATTACAACAAGGCTTAGAGATTTGGAACCCAAACATATATAAAGTGTTCGACATAAACTGTTACTCTTAGACAAGTGTTGAGGAAGAATATGTATATCGACACAATTACTACTCTTAGTCAAATGATGAGGAAGAATATGTATGTGGACGGAAGCAACAAGGAAACCATTAACTTGGATAAGATCACTGCACGGCTCAAAAAGCTTAGCTATGGGCGTAGCAGTGACCATTGCGACATTGCCCTCGTTGCTCGGAATGTCTGTGGCGGTCTGTACAATGGAATCAACTCGATGAATTAGCTGCAGACACTGCTGCTTCCATGTCTTGTAACCATCCTGATTACGCCACAGTGAGTGTTCATATCTGATAATGCCTTTGAAATGATTTTGGAGAAATAATCTCTCTGTTTTTTTTTGTTGTCTTTAAAATTTTCAGCTTGCTGTCTCAAATCTTCACAAGAACACCAAGAACTCATTATCTGAGACGTGAGTGGAATGTTTATTATCATCGATTTGCTTATACGTTTCTTTGGTCACGGATTGAGCGGTGTTTTCAGGGTTTATGACATGTTCAACCATGCTTCTTTAATAGCTGATGATGTGTGTTTGAAAGTTATGAAGGTAATAATATTTTAGAAGCTCTCTTTTCTTTAGATGGTTAATGTCATAGACTGATTGACTTATGCTCAATCTCAGAACGCTGCTCGCTTGGACAGCGAAATCATTTATGACCTGGATTTCGAGTATGATTACTTTGGATTTAAAACGCTCGAGAGATTGTACCTCTTGAAAATCCATGGGAAAGTTGTTGAAAGGCCTTGCTCTTGGAATCCACAAGGACGATATCGAATTTGCAATCGAAACTTGCCATTTCATGTCTCAGAGATGGTTCACTCACTCATCTCCTACTCTCTGTAACGTTGGAACTCCAAGGCCTCAATTGTAAGTAAAATACCTATGTATATTGTTAACTTATATGTATGGAAGATATATAAGTTAAGAATGATGGGGAGTGGAAGATATACCTATGTTTTGTTTGATCTGCGTACTCTGTTCTTAAGCAGTTTCATCTGCTACTTAGGCCCGGCAACTGAATAAGGATATATTTGAAACCATATACTACCATGCACTCAAAGCATCTTTAGAGCTTGGTGCAAGAAATGGTGCGTACGAGACATACAAAGGAAGTCCCGTGAGCAAGGTATGCATCTCATCTTGCAATTAATTCAATATCGTGTTGTGGATTCTTTATTGCGATGATTCTTTACGACATTTGCTATGAGGAAGTTTGCAAAGTTGCATCAGCCATCACACCTCTTGAATTCACCGAAGGATGCCTAATTGTTGATCCAAGGAGGTCGACAATGAATTTATAATAGATCGGAGGTCGGAGAGTTCCGTGTATAGAAAGTTGAGTCAAAGGAGGGTAAGTACAAATAGATCGCTAAAAATAGTCCGGACAGATCTCCGGCTATCAATTTGCTAGTCCGGAGATCGTAGTAGATTGATCAGACCGGAATTACTAGATGTTGAGTATAAAAGATTACAATTTAGCGAACTCGCGAGTAGTGGTACTTGTATTTCTTGAGAGGAGAGTGAATGCCCTCCTGTACTGTCCCGTGACATCTATTTATAGTGAACGGTGTTGGGTTTAACTCGAGTTCAGCTAACCGCGGTTATCCCCTAGGTGCGTTCAGACCGTGGTTAAAGTTCGGAGTGGGCTTCGGGCAGCCCGTCGGGCTTCTCCAGACTTGACGGGCCTTGGCTTCTCCTTTCGACCTGAACCTCCGAACTGTTTAGGTTGGTGGGCCGCAGGTCCAGGCCCAACAGTAGCCCCTCTGGTCGACGAAACGAGACGGTTTGAGTTTCGTTGATTTTAGGTCGTTCGATCTGTTTCTTAGGCTTCGCGAGATCGCCACGTGTCGGAGTCTCACTGGTTCTCGCTGCGGTCTCGTTTTCTTCGAGGCGTGACCCCTCGTATTCCGCTCTGAGCCTATAAAAGTGGGACTCGGTTCCTGCTTTTCATCTTCATTCTGCTTCAACTGCTTCTCTCTCTAAGGTACTGTTCTCTTTTTCTCTCTCTAAGGTTCTTTCTGTTTGCATCTGCTTTGATTTCTCCGATCTGCTCTCCGCCGTGGTTTTTGTCGTAACCGTTAGATAAGACACTGTATCGATCTAGGAACCCTTTGAATCTGTTCCTACCGTAGTCATGGTTTCTTCAGCGACCGACTCTCAGAACGAGTATCTCTCTGATTCCGGGAGAATGGATTCGTCCTCCGCCGAGAGTCCCGATGCGTCGACTCGCGAAGGGACTTCGTCGAATGCCGGCGAGAGAGTAGCAAGTGGCAACTCTCTCGCCGAGGACGACGCTGGGTCCTGTTCTGTTGGTAATCTGGAGGTCGGGACCCTACAGCCCGGAATTGCTAAACCTCGTCGGGTTAAACGTCGAGTTGTGGTTAAGGATCAGCCCGCAGCTCGGCGAGTATACTCGAATCCTAACTCCTTCGGTCTCACGCCTGTCGACAGGCTTGCGTTGGAGCTTTTGGGGCCGGGCTTAGGTCCTGGCATCGAGCTGAAGAGGAAGGACGATTTTGATACGAAAGCCGATCTGTCAATGCTTACGAACGTCTGGTCTATCCGTGATCTTTCAAGGGAGGTTGATTTCCGTGTCCCCCAGAGCGGCGAACGTCCTTGGTCGCCCCCAGAAGGGTATATGTGTCTCTACGTATCCTTCTTCGAGGAGAGCGGGCTGTTCTTTCCGATTTCGCGGCTGTTAATTGAGTACTGCGCTCGCCGCGGTCTGGCCGTCTCTCAGCTAACCCATGGGTCCATCAGGAACTTCATGGCATACTTGGTTTTGGCCGCAGAGCAAGGACTGGTCTGTGACTGCGACACCTTTGAGGGGCTAACTGCGCTGAAGCGGAGAGGTTCTTCAGGCCGCTACTATGTTTCAGCCAAGCCTAAGTACAATCGGTTGATCACGGGCTCTGACGCCGATAAGAGCGCGGACTGGGAGTGCTTCTACTTCTTTGTGAAAATAAACGCGGCTTCTGTAGAGAATCCCAAGTGGCCTATTCGTGCGGGCTGGAATGTTAATATAAGTACGTTTTTGCCGAAATGTTTTTTTTTTCTTTGTTCGGGCTGACGCCTAATTTTTTTTCTTTTGTTTGCAGACAGACCGCCGCCAAGGATACTCTGCTCCGAGCAGCCCAGCGACAGATCCTTTGTGAGATTCATCGAGAAGTAAGGTCCCCAACTTTGGCCTGAGTTTGTCGAACAGAGAATCCAAAGGTGTATTGGAAGGATCCTAACCGGTTAGTGTCCGACCCGTTCTCCCGATCTCGGCTTTGTCGATTCTTTCTTCGTTTTCCCCCTTTCTCTTTTGACGGCGCCTTCGTCTTCTTCGTAGGTTGTTTCGATCTCGAGCTCGAGCCCCTTCGTCCCTTTACACACCCTCCGGTTATTCCAAAAGCGAAGACTTTCAAGCGAACAGCGGAGCAGATGGGCAAGAAAACAAAAGGGATGTGGAGGAGAGTGGATTACAACGAGGCCGCATTGGACGAAGCGGTCAMGGCTTCTAAAGAGAAGCAGGTCGCCCCAGCTGGGCAGACCTCTAAGCAAAAGCAGGTCGTCCCTGCTGGCAAGGTCGCTCCGACCGAGAAGCCTCCCCTAGCTAAAAAGGTCGGGCACACTCCGGTCAAGGTCGGCGAAAAGAGGACGAACGTGGCCTCTACGCTTAGAGGAACCGGTCCGCCTGGAAAGGGGACCCCTGCTGGGGGGCAGTCTGGAGCTCCCCCTGTCAGGCGAACTGGGGCCGCGCTGGCGGAGAAAACTGGCAAGTCTGTTGCCGAAGGATCTGCGGTGGGGACCTCTAAAGACAAGAGACCGCATGAGGACGCTCCGGGAAAGGGAAGTAAAAGGGCTCGGACTGATAACTGGGAAGGTTCCCTTGCCACGCCCGAGGTTGACTCGGCTGCCGCCTCCCATTCCGCGGACTCTAGAGAATACACGCTCGAGATGGACTTCAGGGGACCTGATCATATGATCAATAACACTCGGGCGTGCGCCGACCTGTGTTCCCGGTTTCCCTGCGACGAAGTCTTCGAGTTTCCTAAGCCGGAGGAGTTGGAGGAGGTCGCAGCATATCGCAAGGTCTGCGGGGCTTCAGTGGAGGTGAGCATTGTCGACTGGTCTACCATTCTTGACTTAGGTTCTTTCTTTTGTTTGTTAATCCCTTGCGTGCTGGTTGCCTCCTTTGCAGCTGATGACCTATATGAATTCGATGGTCCTCTCGTACGAGCGCAAGCTCTTCAAAGTCTCAAAGCAGCTTGTGGAATACGAATCGCGGACTAAGGAGCAGGAGTCGATGAAGGGGGAGTTCGAGCTGATGAAGAAGGAGCTCGAGTCTGCAAAGGCGGAAGCGGAGAAGGTTCCCGTTCTGAAGTCCAGGGTCAACAACTTTAGCAAAATGGTGGCGGACTCAGATAAGGTCATCGAGGACCTCAGGTCGCAGAAGAAGGATGCCGCGGAACAGCTGGAATTGGCGACTGCCAAAAAGGATTCTCTCCAGGCCGAGGTTGATCGTCTTCGTGAGTCTCGATCGTCAGCCGTTAAGAGCACCGTGGAAGAGTGCAACAAGAGGCTGGCGGGAATCAAGAGGTCGATTGCTGATTCCGCGGAGGTCGCTCGGCTCTCGGAACTGATGAGTCAGTCGCAGGCCATTAAGGGCTACCTGGTCAAGATGGGGAAAGAGGACGGCATTACCATTTCCGCGGAGAGGCTGAAGGTCCTTGATGATAACTTCGAGAAGTTCAAGGGCCAGCT